TCCGGGCATGTCCCACTGGGAGGAGGCCCCGGGGAAGACCCAGGACACGCTGGAGGAACTATGTCTCTCGGCTGGTCTGGGAACGCCTCGGGATTCCCCCCAGAGGAGCTGGAGGAAGTGGCCGGGGAGAGGGAAGTCTGGGTTTCCCTGCTGAGACTGCTGCCCCCGCGACCCGACCTCGGATAAGCGGAATTAAGTTAATGGATGGATGGATGGATGTATTTTAATACAGCTGAATTCCCAATAAAGCTGTTCTGATTTACATTTTTTGTTTCTGTTGTCAGACAACATAACATGTATGATATTGTGACTGAAATGCAGCCCATTTAGGCTACATGTTCACCAGCAGTCACTTCCAAGCTGCTGCTCTGTACTGCTAAAATTCAGGTTATACAACTGCTACAATATTTTGTGGTGCAGCCTCTTTTTACCAATATAACAGTCTTCTCCCATAATGTTTGATAAGTCTGGTGAGCACATGGCAATGAGAGATAGAGAGAGAGAGAGAGAGAGCGAGTGAGAGAAGGATAAAAATAAACTAAATATGAAAGATAGAAATACCAGAGAGGTGTTATTAATGACCACACCTGAGAGGGAGCAAGAGTGGTTCACTTTAAACTTAAACCACCTCGTGTTTACCTAAATGTGACTCATTAGTACAAGTACTGCCTCATTCCATGCTGATAAACTGGAAGAAACATGTAATATACCCACACGTTTAAAGCTAGACTGCAGGGAGTCTTGATCTTTAGACTATAGAATTTGGACGCTCTCCTGTCCGGTAATTAAACCCACAAGCGCTGAAGTGCGAGCACTCTACAGCCGCACTGCCCAGCCCGAAAGCCTACCCTTCCATGGGACCATGGGCGTAAATTACGGGGGGGGATGGGGGGTGGTTGTAGCCCCCCCAATAATAATTTTTCTCCCGTAATGGGTGGAGACCTCAACCCCCTCAATGTTCCAGCCAAAGTTACTCCCTTCCATGGGATTACGTCATGAGGTGACCAAAGCCGTACAAAACTGAAAGTTCCGACTGTAGCGATTTGACAGTACATTGCGGCTTATAGACATGTGCGGTGTATTTATGTTCAAAATAAGTATTTTTTTTTTAATTCAGTGGGTGCAGCTTATATTTAGGTGTGCGTAATAGCCCGGAAATTACGGTAATTTGATTATTTATTGTATTTGTTACCGTATTTTCTTTTCGATTGCCTTTTATTTACTGGCTGTTGCAACAAGTAAATTTACCCAGTTTGGGACCAATAAAGTCTTTATCTAAATGACACGTTATTTCCACTCTTCCCAAACTGGAAGAGAGCAGCTACTACGGTGACACTGCACACAATAAGTGAGGCAGAGATCCAGGACATCAGCAGTAGCGTCACGTCACGGGTGGTGACAGAGATGGTGGCACAGCTTCAGGACAGACTTGGAGAGCTAAAGTCCACCACACTTGATATTGCGGTGACAGGAGAGTCTGGTTGACTCATCCTTCATTGATGGCTTCCGTGGTGCGGGTGATGAAGATCCAGCAGCAGCGAAGACGGGTGTCACAGAGGCGACCAGGGGGACCATCCCCTACGTGAACCCCGATATGCCCACAGTGCGTCTGTGGGACCTGCCTGGCACCGGGACACCAGATTTCCAGCCTAAAACCTACCTAGAAGCTATAGGTCTGTATCAATTTGACTTTTTCATCATTGTAGCTTCTGAGCGATTTCGGGAATCTCATGTCACACTGGCTCAGTGTATAGGGCAAGCAGGGAAAAAGTTTGACTTTGTACGCAGCAAAGTGAACAACAACCTGGAGGCCACAGTCCGGTGAAGAGGTGGAGAACCATCTGCCATATTGAATCAGATACGAGATGAAAGAGGTGCAGCATTGAGGAGGAGTGATGTGCAACAGCCTCGCATGTTCTTGATGTCTTGCTTCCAGCCACATCTCTTTGGCTTCCCTTTGCTGCACACCACACTGGAGAGTGAGCTGGAGGGCCACAAGCGCCACGTTCTTCTCTTGGCACTCCCCAACCTCACCTCGACTGTGCTTGAGAAGAAGAAGCAGGCTTTCCATGGAAGTGTGTGGCGGACAGTTATGACCGCTTGCCTGGGAGCCATGAGACCAGTGTCTGCTGCATCTGGTACTGTTCCCTGGCTCATGGACACACTGCGATCCTACCAGCAAAGCTTTGGGATAGACACCAACTCACTGCACCGCTTGGCAAGTCTTACAGGGGAATCTTACCAGGTATGACATAATCTGGAAAATTCCTTGTTTTTGAATTCCTGACTCCTCATTTTGGTTTATTGCCCAACAAAAATCAAAACATATGCACTATTTGTCTTAAACTATCTGTGTACTTTAATATGCTCCAAATCTCCTTCCCTTGTTAGCAAATATCCACTCATGCTGGTTGCTTAATGTCTATCAATGGAGTGTTAAATTGCTTCACTTTACCTCCCTTCCACCAGGAGCTTCAGGAGGGTGTTTGGTTTCCATTTACTGGAAATGTTAGGACCAGAAATGTCACATGAAACTGAAACATAGTGAACTTAAACTTAAGCAAATAAGCAAATAACTGACAACAACAATACTTCATTAAAAAACACACACACCCAACGACAGCCTATAATGCATAAACAGGTTTGGTTTGTCACGCCATGGTATAGTCGAAAGTGACAAAGTGACATTTAGTCAGTCCCTAGCTCCTCCAGTCAACTGTCAAAAGGGCAAATCATCATAAGTCAGGTGCTCAGAAAAGGAGAAGAAGAAACGAAAGAGAAAATGAGAGCAGAGGTGCAAGGGACTTTATGGCCAGGTATTTCATAAAAGATGTTGACGTCAACAACCTGTGCCCTCTCGGAAATGTGTGTTGG